GATGTGTGAGAATATTTATCACCATGGGAGCACTCAAATATTACTAAGTGGTTTGATAGTGGCCTACTTAGAAGGACACACAAATATCCTTTGATTTCTTCATAATGACCTTCCAGATATAACCAGAATGATACTTAAGGACTGCTAACTCTTTGCCTAAGATCAAAGTTGACTGTTTTCTAAGGTATAATGTTTATTTCCTAGCTATATTTCTATTTATTCTCAGGCTCCTGATTCTGGTGAACCTCCTCTTTCACCAAATCAGATCAATACATCAGCGGGAGGTAATAGAAGGAAATTAAAGCCATGATACTATGCTTGGGAATGCTGGTAATAATTTCAGGAGCCTAAAACTCCCACTGATATATTAATGTATTTTAACAGCAACCAGAACTACCATTACCACCATCACCATTAGCACCATCACCTCCACCTCCACAACCACCATCACTACTATTACAACTGCTAAACAACAGAGTAAACTGAGGGCCTTTAAATAAAAATCAAGGTTAATAATCTAATTGCAGAGAAACGCAGATAGCATGCTCCATGACCTTTGTCAAGATGAAGAATTTGATTTTCGTTATTCTAGATTAGGAATGATGCAGAGAAGACTAGCATATGCTAACTCTTCAGACACAAACTTCAAGAGGAACTCTTCACATATATCAAGAATCACTCTGGGACTAAAAATTTTCAGAAGGAAAAATTTATAGGCAAACTATAAAATGTTTTGCTATCCAAAACAAGACTCTGCCCCACATGTCAGCTCATAGCTGCACATGCAGACCACACATCTGATCTCTGTATGCAAACCACACCACCCTCAGAAAGTAACTTGGGCACAGTGTGTTTAGAGGTGTGTTGGTGAATCTCTTGGGGGTGGGGTAGAGGAGGAGCTCTCAATCCCATACTTTAATGCAGTTTGAAAATTTTTTAATGATTTATCCCATGCTTCTTTATAAAAATGTGTTCCATTATGTTTGCTCATCCCTCAAATGTAATATTTTAGACTCAAATGCAAATTGAGCCCTGAGGTTAATAATCATAGACTAATATGGTCAGATCTAATCTACTGAGAATCTTAGATACATCACTGCACACAGTATTTTCATTCACAAGTTAAAATTCAAATCAAAAACTCGTTTCAAACCATTTTTAAAACCGTAATTGAAAATTATTACTCAAGGTAACAAATCTATCAGAAACAAAACAGTGATTAGAAAGTATGGTAGTATAAATACATACATCTTAACATTAAACATTTATAACATTCTATAGGTTAAACATTATTTTAACAAATAATATAACAGTATTTGATTCCTTCTAATTATTTAAATGCATAATAAAATAGGGCACACATTTATATATGCATATGCAAGTGTAACTATAGTTTTATAATACAAAAGATATAAACATAGATTTCCTGAAGCTTACTGACTTCAAGAAGACTGATGCAAGGATAATCAAAGGGAGGAAACTGAAGAATTTCAGGGCCTGATGTATGTGAGGGAGAGAGAAACAGAGAGGGAGAGGCAGAGAGGGAAGGAGAGAGAAAGAGAAGGAGAGAGAGAGGCAAGAAGGGAGACAGAAAGAGGGAGAAGAGAAAGGAAGACTAGAGAGGGAGAAAGGGACAGAGAAAGCATTTACACTGAATATTTGATTATTGAAGGCCACCCTCATAAGCAAAATATTTTCCCTCAATTACACCTAATTATTTAATTGTTTACATTTACTAATGAAACGAAGTAACACAGAACAAACAACCGTTAAGGGGCTGTTTTTCAGCAAGTGCATAATCATCAATCAACATGTAGGGAAAGATTCTTAAAATTATATGAAGCTGGGTTGTTTAAATAGAAAGGCATATTTTATCCCAATCAATGCATAGAAGTAAAATTATCCATAACTGAGGCATGTTTCTCTGCTGTGCAGCTCAGCTGTAATGGCCCCCACACACTGCGCTTGCACATCAATTATGATTATCATAATCACGGTCGTTAAGCTGAATGTTCATTATTATCAGGATGCTGGTGACAGCAGATTCAATCACCGGGTGCAGTGGGCAAGCAGGCACAGTCCCACCCGAGTTTCTGCAGACAGCGATGTGCCACATTAAATCTATGACGTGTTCCACATCCCACCCTATTCCAAAAGCCGTAGACGGTAAAGGTCAACTTTATGTTCTGTGCAATATGCTTAGGTTCTCTAAATTAATTCTTGGAGTATTGGAGATTTTTATGCTTTGTAGCTTATAAAATCCTGTTTAGGACCAAATGTACATGAAAATAGCAAAAAAAGGACTGCCTAATGTTGTAATTCACCTATAATAAAGCATGGGAGGAAAGACTCTATCAACAGGAGCCATCTGAAAAGTCTCTTCCTGCATTTTTGCAAATAAGGAAAAACATGAAATAGTTGTAGTACAATCTGTTGTCTCAAGTGCATCTGAAAACTCATTCTTGTTCAGAAAAAGGCTTCAGACTCTCATTTCTGCTCCAGTAAATATGAACATGTGCAAATGTTCTGACAATCAAAAGAATGCTTTTATTTTACAGAATTTCCTATTATCCAACTCTTTTAGAACAGTCCATATAGATTAAATTAATAGTGATGGACTGTTAGATTCCCCTTTTTAATTTCAATTCTATTTTAAATATTGTGATGAGAACAGTAAGGAGTTGATAAATACAAAGTACTTGCTGAAACTCAAAAAGTTTAGCCGTTTGAGACACAGATGAGTGACTAGCTAGCACTTTAACTTGGAGCATTTTACAAACAGGCCAAAGAAATATGAGTAAGTTATATGATATGTACTTTATTTTATTATTGATTTCCATACTTTCAAGACAATGATATATATATATATATATGCTATTTTTCATTATTGATTTTTTATACTTTTGGGAAAAATAGCATGACTTTCTCTCAATTTCTTGACTTTGTGATGTTTTTGTGTTCTTCAGAGCAATAGCAATACACATGAAACAAAAATATTAAATATTTGATATAGTTGATTATATTAAATGATTTAATGTGTCATTAGAGGATTTGTTTAATTAGTATTTGGTTTTCTTTCAACTGATACCCTTTATTACAATTGTATAACAAATCATTTGGCAATTATAATTTACATGCTTAAAGGTGAAGAGAAAGAAAATTTTCCATACAGACAATCTTAAAAATGATGGAAAAGATGGAGTAAAGAAGCCAAATACACTTAGTTGAGTTGTTTCTTGACTGAAATCTGTTGCATTCAACTATATCTTATATGCACTTAAACATTTGTAAATAGTCCACCTGCCCATAGAAGACTAAACCCATAGCTGTATTTTCTGTCTTCACCATTTTGAAATTAACAACACCAGTCTCCCTAAAACTATCCTTAATCCACTAATACTGAACAAGCTGTGGCCTCCAAACACCCAGGTCAAGAAACAAAAACATAAAAATAAAGAAAAACAGCCTGTTTTTAGCAATTTATTGGACACAAATCTCACCCAAGTCACTTAACATCGTATCAAAATATATAATATTACTAGTTGCAAGAATTACACATAAGTAACAGAATGAATACTTCTGAATTATATAAACTACATAGAGGGGTGATTTATTTCACATAGCTATTTCAGAAGATCAGAAGGAAGGTGAGAAGAAACAATGATGGGAAGGAGGAAGGACGAAATTTAAATTTATATTTAATATTTTTCTCCAAGGTTTTATGCAAGGTTAAGTAGACTAACAATTTGCTAAGATTTAAAGAATTCCTATACTTTTCTTTCAGTTCTCAGGGTCTGTAAGAACAATCACTTATTAATTTTTTGAGTCTATAATTGTGAATGGTTGCAAATGAGGTAAAAACAAATGCCTAGAATAGTTTTACTCTGGATTTTTACAAAAATAACATTGTCACCAAGATAGGTTTCGCAATCTAAGGTCCAGATTAATTACTTTGTACATATATTCCTCAAGGCATAGATAGCATTATTATTTGGTGTTTCAGAGACATTTCTTATTGTTTTTTTAAGGTGACTAGGTACAAATCAAAAAGTACTCAAGCATGGCATACCCTTGGCAATTTGATAGATAAAATGTCCAAAAAAAAAAATAAATAATTGTTCTTACTTTAGCAAAGAAAGATCTTGTTTTTCTTAAGGGTTTGCACTTTTCTTGCTGCTGAGTAATGAGGATCCCTCAGCAACTTGTTTTCCTCTTCATCTTGGCCTCTCGCCTGCTGGAATTCCTAAGTCACCTCACAGCAGAGGTGCTCCTTTATTCGTGGGCATAGGTACTCTTTTTCTCTAAGATCATGTCCCTATATTTTTATTTCTAGGATACTGTTTTTGTTGCATTGGCCTTTTAAACAAGTGTCTTAGATTCTTTTGGAAAACATTTGTGTGTAAATGAATAAATCCACATTGTCAGACCATTAATAGAACCAATAGGTCTAGAAATATGCTAAATTCAATGGCCCTAACCACTTTCCAGAAAAATCAGTTCTTCATTTTATCAACATAGTTTTGCGATGAATAAGTTATACTTTCTGTTAGATAACAGGTTGAATACATAGTGAGAACATTCCTTTTCACGTTCTATAGTGCAAGACCTCTTGGTGCTCCCCATTTACCTACTTAGCTATCAACAGAAACTGTGATAGCGAGAAAGCAAGCAAGCACTCATCCACATACCTAAAAACTAGCTTCACCAGAGACACAGATTAAGGACTGGGAGCACTGGCTTTGCCTTAGCTAGTGATGCAGGCCATTGATCACAGGATAGCTGTGTCATGACACGTAAGAACACAACACTGAATGTTCACATGAAAGCAAATTTCTTACGGACAAAGGTTAACAATATCATCTTTATATTAAAGCGCTATAAATTATTTTGTAACCATGAAGGTAAGGATTATAATGAGAAAGTTTATATTTGCTCTAATTAGTATACCTTTTCAGCCTTTTAAAAGGAACACAATTCTTTCTGATGTCACATAAACTCACCTTGTGAGAGATCCATTTCTTAGGATCTTCATGTCTGAAATGCTGAGACCCATAAGAATCAGGACCATACTTGCTTGATGAATGTATCAATGGGATGTACTTCTTATTTTTATGGTAGGTAGAAAATGGCAAAAACCTGAAAATATAGGTGATATTCTTAATTTGGTTTCTAGAGTTATTTGTTTCAAAAAATCATAATTGAGAGAAGCAGTATAATGAAAATAACACACGGTTTAGAATCAGAATACCTGGTATCACCTCTAGCCATTGACATTCTTTGTTACTAACCTTTATGAATCTTCATTTCTTACTCTGCAAGTGGGAATACTAAAACTTTCTTCACTGAATTTTTGTGAGTCTCCATCATTTTGTAAATACATATTAAATAATACATTCATCAACTAATGATGCCAAATAATTCAAAATCAATTATGTAATTACAAAGTATTCTTAATTTTAAAACAGTATCCCAAATGAGAAGGCCTGCCTGTGCTCAAATAATGAAGTTACTTTGGTGGAGGGCATGAGTAAGATTCATATCTTACTTAGCTTTGTCCTTGTGAGCTGTGTTCCCTCATGTAAGTTACTTGATCTCTATGAAATTTTACTTCCATATAGGGTCATTGTAAGGAATGAAAAACAAGTAATGTTAAGAGTGGAATCTGAAAAGAACAAGGAAGAGGGAGATGCCTAGGGGTGATTTGTCCTGCAGAAGCCTTGCAAAGCTCAGGAACTGAAACTACCCACCTGGCAGGAGAGGAGCGGAGGGATAAAGCTGGAAACTTGAAAGTTGATGGGGGAGTAACTAAGTCCCCATCTTCCTCTCCCAGCCCATACAAGTCTAAGGAGGGTCTTTTCTCAGAACTTTTTGCTGAGAGCCCTGCTCTCAGGAAAAGCAGCACAGTAGAGTGTGGAACAAGGCAGCTCAAGGAACATATGGGTTTTAATTCAAAGTGCTGTCCTGATCTCTTCCTGTGCTCATCTGTGAGTGATCTGGCAGCTGGGACTTGAACACTTTTGAAGACTAACTATACCTTCTCAAAAGACACTGAGAGTTCCTAGGAAAACACCTTGATTCTATTTTTAAAATTTTCATTGACGTGACAGTGCATTATAACATGATAGAAGTTTCAGGTGTATATCACTATAAACCAACTTCTGTATATCCTTCATAAAGTTCACCACTAACAGTTCAATTCTGTCCTTTTTGGGATTTCTTAATTAAAAGGTCTGTGTCTTAGCCACCATGCAATAAAGTCTGTCGGTCAAAAGCCATTCTCACACACAAAATAGTTTTTAATCTAATTTTCAGTCTCTCCTTGAATTTAAGAATGGATCACCAAAAGGGAAAGCTGCCAACATAAAAGAATGACACAAATCCAAACATATATGATAAAGAGAAATTATGAATTAATATATTCAAAGGAGATAGGGTATCAATGAAATTAAAGCAAACTGTTACTACATTTACAGAAAAAGAGCAAGTTTAGGAGAAAAATATATGGCAACATGAAATATTCTGTGAGAATTTATTCTGAAATTAACACTTCATAAGAATAAAGTTGAAGCTCAACAAGTTTACTGAACCATTAGTACATGCTAATATTTTCACATATATCATCTCATTTAATGAAGGCAAAGAAGGGCTTTTTAAATCTCAATGCAATTGAAAAAAATTGCCATTATATACATAAATTTGTCTGAAAAGTAATATACTTAGGAAAAGTGGTGTTATTTCATCAATTTTCACACCTCTCTACAATTGTTTTTTAATGTTTGTTAAATAGCTCCTTTTTAATAATTTTCTTAAGAAAATATTCTGTAATACTATTTAAAATGAAAACAAACACAGTGCTTTGCATAATAGAAAATTACACAAGCATGCATTACATATGCTCTGGGGGGAAGAGCTCTCATATAAGACAGATTGTGGTCCTTCCAGGGCTAATTTGCACATGGGATGGACATCACACACACACAAATTAATGTGGCCCCAGTGTCCCTGAGTGTACAGAGGAGGCATGTGAGCCGGCTGCTGCACTTATAGTTCTTAGCACTTCTGAATTGCATTTTAATAGTACATTTTTCTTTTGTGTCTAAACAAAATATGCTTTCTCAAGGGAATGGATGGCTGAAAAGACAAGGCTGAAGACTGGGCATTTCCCTCTCCATGGATTAATTTTACTTTCATTTGGCCATAATGTTGCATTCAAGTAACATACGATGCATATTCTTAAGGTGCTCCTATGGATAGGCATATACACGTACATATATTCAAAATATTTAAGTGTTTTATAAATGATAGATGGATATTTATCTTCAAATTAGGAAGAAATTTAATTCCTAAATAGAATTTGCTCTATGAAAACTCTCCCAAATGAAAACTCTTCAGTTTTTAATCAAACTTTTAGAAAATTACCAATTAAAGACGTATCTTTTGCTTCTTTTAAATATATATATTTGATGGAATTGTGTTTGCAATAGGTACTTTTTTTTCCAATGAAAAAAGAAGATATGGATTTGCCTTTTACTTTTCATGATCTCATCAAATATTCAGATCTGGCAGAAATTCTTAAATACAGTGTGGAAAAATAAAGTATACAAACAGGTCACAACTTGAACACCTCAGCAATTAAAGAAGAATTGGTAGAGGTGTCAGGAAGCAAACATTAAAATAGCCAATTATCTTCAAGGAAAAAAAGATCCACTGAAATACATTATAAAGTCTTTATTATTTGAGTATTAATGTACTCTGCATCATTTTCCAAGTGAGAAGACTAATGAAATACACTTTTTGCCTTATAACTTCAGGAAGGAAACAAGGTAAGAGTAAACAGCCTTACTCTCATGCAAATGAGGTTGCCCTTGAACATGTATACTCCTGTATTATAGAACATTACAAATAGCAAAACATTTTTGTTTGTTTTCACACAAACACGCACATGCACACACACATTGACTGGCCATAAAGTAGTTATCCAAGCACAATGAATTTTGATTTAGGTAAACCATTTCAACATGAACATACTGATAATGATTTGCAGATGTCAAGCTATATGGCTATGGATCAGGTCTCTAACACTAACTCATCCCAAATCAGCCTTCTCTCCCTTAAAGCACTCCTAGTGAATATATGCACTGAATACAAAGCAGGATAAAGGCACGCTTAATTAAAGTTAGGAATTTGGGTCCAGCTCACAATAAATTCTCCAATGAACTACGCAAGTCACGCCAATAGCATGCATAGGCTAGAGGCAGGAATAGCATTCTGGAGTTAGTTTGTCTCAGACTTCACAGCAGTTCGTGAATTCAGCACTTCCTCATGTGGGGGCTGGTCGTTGACATGCCCTCAGGGTGTCAACAGCAAAGTCAGGAGGTAATAGGCGACAACATACACCACCTCAAGCAAGATGAGATTTCTGCTCTGACCACTGGCCAGAAAAGGAAGGGGAGAGACAGCCAAGGACTCTCTCCATTAGGAGCCAATCCAGGGCACCACCTTACTACTTGAGAGAGGAAAACTTCTCTGGATAGAGGCTGCCAGGAGTGATGACAGAAGGTTCCATCCTCCTCAAGCTAAATGGGATAATAGCTGGCAGAGGCAGGGGCGGGAGGCAAGGGAGCCTTCTTTTCCCCTTGAGGTAGCTCCTAGTAATACTGAGAGGAGTACTCAGTTCTGGGTCTGTTCACAGAAACGAATCATAAGTATATAATAAATGGTGGGTGGCATGATTCACAGAAATTGAATTCATCAGATATGTCTACAATAAATATTCAATATGAACGCTTAGACACTTGGTCATAAAAAGGTAAAAAAGCCTAGCATAGTACCTGGCACATGTTGAGTATGCGACAGTTTTCACTGAATGAGTGAAGAAGTTTGCAACAAGCTCTATTTTATATGGCTCTTTTTTGAAGTTCACACTCAATGAAAGTATACTTAAGAGTGAGAAATCTTGTTAATACCCTTCCTGATGGTAACTATTTTAAATATAATTTTACCCAAATTTATTTGATGAAAAACTCAGCAATGTCCTCTAGACTAGTGTTTTAAGAGACAGTCTGCAAAATGCTGTTAAGGGTGAGAAAAAGAAAAAAGGGTCACACAGGTTGGCCTGTTGTTGGGACTGCTGGTGGGATGTCAGTAAAGTTCAGAGAGAACTCCCAAATGAACTCACTTTACTCTGCTTGATTTGTCTTTCAATGAGAATGATTTTGGCAATCTGATAGAAGAAAACATACAAAAGACTAGTTTAAGCTCAATATGTAAAAACACAAAACCTCAAAAAGTAAAAGCACCCTACCATCTATCAAGCAGTGCAGCTAGGCCTGCTGCATGTCAGGGGCTCTGTTCTGGGAGCTTCTCATCTAGAACAAGGGTCTCCTATTTCTGTGTCTAAAATGTAACACTACAGAGGTCAGGCAAGAAACACTAGAGAGTCTTATGTAAGAACAAGGAACATAAGCTTTCCTCAACTGTTGTCATGTGAGATTGTGGGCCTCCTGTTTCCAGATCTCCCAATTTTTAATATAAGCTGAAAAAATCTGGATTTTCATAAGATTTAATTACTATTTTCAATCCCTTTAATTAATTTAATTTCTAGAAAAATATAGGATCCAAATGTAACACACCTCGAGGCAGTATTTAATTCAGAAGTTACTAGTCTGAAACCACGAATTTAGAATTTGTAAGTGAGCATCTAATTCTGTCAATGGCTTCAAGATTTCTAATCAAGATAAATTATATCTGAAATTGCTGGGCAGACCTTTGGGTGCCATGTCCAAGTCACTATTAGTTATTCTGAAGAAGCTGTCAGTGTACCAAAGATGTACCAAGATGACTTTAACAGCAAGGGAATATAGATTCTATTGTATATGGATGACCTAACCTCATGTTAATTTTCAGCAAGATTCTAAAGTGGAAGATTAAAATCGAATGGAAAGAAAATCTAGAAAAGTAGTGCTAGTACCGCCCCCCTCCTCCAGAAATCTGTACAAAATCATCTTCCTATAGCTTCTCCTTGAGAGGTTCTATCTTTATCTCTGTATACAATGCTTTCTTCAACTCAAGTACAATATTTTTTTTTAAATAATAAATTTTATTTTTATATTCCCCATACAATTGCAGCCCCCCCA